GGCTGTAGTTTTCTACCAAGAGAACCTCTCTGAAATTCTTCTTAGGACCTATAGCAATGAACTTCCACTGAAGTCACTTATCCTGAGAGAGGGAGTGTCAGACAGCAACAAAATGCCAATTTCCCACTTGTTCAGCGACAGGTTCACTTGGTCGGGGGTGGGCAAGGCCAGTTAGGTGCACAGCCAACACCCGTTCACTGGCTGCCTAGAGATACGGGATCCCTGGAGCCCAAGGTCACCCCCAGGCAGCCAGGCCATGATCGCAGGTTGAGAAGCTGAGGGTACAGCCCGGCCGGCGTGGCTCAGTGGTTGAGTGTCAACCTAGGCACCAGGAGATCACGGTTCGATTCCCGGTCAGGGCACATGCCCGGGTTGTGGGCTCCATCCCAAGTAGGGGGTGTGCAGGAGGCAGCCGATCCATGATTCTCTCATCGTTGATGCTTTTATCTCTTGCTCCCTCTCCATTTCTCTCTGAAATCAATAAAAATATATTTTTAAATTTTTTTTTAAATAGAGAAGCTGAGAGTGTCGCAATAGGTCAGGGCATCCAGTGGCTACTGAGCCAGGGGTAGGGTCACTCCATATCCCCTGTCTCGTTCTCCATATCCACTGCAATGTCTAGATTTTTGCAGCGGTTCTCAACCTGTGGGTCGCGATCCCCTTTGCCGGTCGAACGACCCTTTCCCAGGGGTCGCCTAAGACCATCCTGCGTATCAGATATTGACACGATGATTCATCACAGTAGCAACATGACAGTTACGAAGTAGCCACGGAAATAATGTTATGGTTGGGCTACAACATGAGGAACTGTATTTAATGAAAGGGTCCGGGCATCAGGAAGGTTGAGAACCACGGCCTTGAACGGTCAGATGAAGCGATGACAACGGCAAACACAGCAACAGCTGTTTGGTGTGAAATGAGTCAAAATTGCACCTGTTTTTGTCGGATCAGCAAACGATAGCCCGTCTGGGTGCGCGGGATGTCGGTGAGGAGCTGCCGCGGGCCGGGGGCGGACGGGTGAAATCGCGGGCACGGACGGGCTCCCGTGGAATGGGTCA